CACACACGCTCAGACACTCACACACGCTCAGACACTCACACTCACACACATGCTCAGACACTCTCACACACGCTCAGACACTCACACACGCTCAGACACTCACACACGCTCAGACACTCTCACACACGCTCAGACACTCTCACACACGCTCAGACACTCACACTCACACACACGCTCAGACACTCACACACACGCTCAGACACTCACACACACGCTCAGACACTCACCTGGAGTTGCACTGGTTTTGTCCTGGAGTTGCACTGGTTTCATCCTGGATTTGCACTGGTTTCGTCCTGGATTTGCACTGGTTTTGTCCTGGATTTGCACTGGTTTCGTCCTGGATTTGCACTGGTTTTGTCCTGGAGTTGCACTGGTTTCATCCTGGATTTGCACTGGTTTCGTCCTGGATTTGCACTGGTTTCGTCCTGGATTTGCTCTGGATTCGTCCTGGAGTTGCACTGGTTTCGTCCTGGATTTGCACTGGTTTCGTCCTGGAGTTGCACTGGTTTCGTCCTGGAGTTGCACTGGTTTCGTCCTTGAGTTGCGCTGGTTTCGTCCTGGATTTGCGCTGGTTTCGTCCTGGATTTGCGCTGGTTTTGTGCTGGATTTGTCCTCATTTCGTTCTAATTTTGTGCTGGTTTCATACTGATATTATCCTAGATTTGCACTGGTTTTGTGCTGCATTTGCACTGGTTTTGTCCTGGAGTTGTACTGGTTTTGTACTGGTTTTGTACTGGTTTTGTACTGGTTTTGTCCTGGATTTGTCCTGGATTTGTCCTGGTTTTGTGCTGTTTTGTCCTGGATTTGCACTGGTTTTGTACTGGTTTTGTCCTGGATTTGCACTGGTTTTTTTCCTGGTTTTGTACTGGTTTTGTCCTGGAGTTGTACTGGTTTTGTCCTGGATTTGTGCTGGTTTTGTCCTGGAGTTGCGCTGGTTTTGTCCTGGAGTTGCGCTGGTTTTGTCCTGGATTTGCACTGTTTTTTTCCTGGTTTTGTATGGTTTTGTCCTGGAGTTGTACTGGTTTTGTCCTGGATTTGCACTGGTTTTGTCCTGGAGTTGTACTGGTTTTGCCCTGGATTTGCACTGGTTTTTTTCCTGGTTTTGTATGGTTTTGTCCTGGATTTGTCCTGGTTTTGTGCTGGATTTGTCCTGGTTTTGTGCTGGTTTTGTCCTGGATTTGTGCTGGTTTTGTCCTGGATTTGTGCTGGTTTTGTCCTGGAGTTGCGCTGGTTTTGTCCTGGATTTGTCCTGGTTTTGTCCTGGAGTTGTACTGGTTTTGTCCTGGTTTTTTTCCTGGTTTTGTCCTGGATTTGCACTGTTTTTTTTTTCCTGGTTTTGTATGGTTTTGTCCTGGAGTTGTACTGGTTTTGTCCTAAATTTGCACTGGTTTTGTCCTGGAGTTGTACTGGTTTTGTCCTGGATTTGCACTGGTTTTTTTCCTGGTTTTGTATGGTTTTGTCCTGGTTTTGTGCTGGATTTGTCCTGGTTTTGTGCTGGTTTTGTCCTGGATTTGCACTGTTTTTTTTCCTGGTTTTGTACTGGTTTTGTCCTGGAGTTTTACTGGTTTTGTCCTGGATTTGTGCTGGTTTTGTCCTGGAGTTGCGCTGGTTTTGTCCTGGATTTGTGCTGGTTTTGTACTGGTTTTGTCCTGGATTTGCACTGGTTTTTTTTCCTGGTTTTGTCCTGGATTTGTACTGGTTTTGTCCTGGATTTGTCCTGGTTTTGTGCTGGTTTTGACCTGGATTCTTACTGGTTTTGTGTGGATTTGGTGGTTTGCGTGCCTCTGTATGTCGTTCTTGTGTTTCTGATCTCTGTAATCAGTAAGAGTGTGAACGAGCAGAAAGCAGAAGCCGTCATGCGGTCCTCTAGGGATCGTCACAGGTGTGTGAACAGGAAGTAGAATCACGAGCACCTGCACTGAAAGCATCAGCGTTGCGGTCAGTGTTTTATTTCCAGCGATGATGTCATGTTGTCTGCTCATTTGCATCGGCGGTTCTTGTGTTTTCGCTCACACTGAAGCGTGTTCATGCGGAGCTGCTCTATTCAAATGTTCTGAGATGATCCAGCCGTTCATGTGAATGAATCCGCTGAAGATAACGGTCCGTGACTGACCGCTGAAGGTCACTTCCGTCTCACGGGACATACTTGTTTCTGTTCTTGAATGTCCCTGCAGTGAAGGTTGAGTGTTGTTTGGTCATGGAGTTTCTCCTGCGTGATTCTCTGCTGACTCTTCATGTGTACGGTGAAGTTTGTCATCATCTTGTGTTTAAACATGTTCTTGAGAGAAATAGATTCGGTTTTGAGTCTCACAGTTAGAAGGGCAGACAGAAACTGATTGGTTTTGTCCTGTGAGTTTGTAATGAAGTGAACGAGTCATGGATCTCTGAAGCAGATTGATTCATGTATCTGAGACTCATCGTGATGCTTTTAGATGTTTGCTGGATCTCTATGGCTTCTGCAGTTTGATCCTTTTTTGTGTTGTGGTTAAAGTCTTGCCTAAAAATGAGAATGTGCTCACCCTCAGTTCATCTAAGATGTAGATGAGTTTGTATCTTCATCAGATTTGGAGAAATGTAGCACTGCATCAGTGTCTCAGCAATGGATGCTCTGCAGTGAATGGGTGCCGTCAGAATGAGAGTCCAAACAGCTGATAAAAACATCCCAATAACCCACACCACTCCAGTCCATCAGCTAATATCTGGAGTTTAAACAGCTCTAACTCTCTCTCTCTCTCTCACACACACACACACACACACACACACTGACTGAATGTGTGTTTTGTTTCTTCAGCTCTGATGGTTCTCGTCAGACTGTGACACTCAGAGACTCCAGCATCAGCCCTCAGCATGTCTGCTCTACAGGTACACACACTGCAACAAAACATCAAATTATATTTGCATAACGTAAACCCTATTTTTTTTAGGGTGGGTTATTTACTTACTTTTTTTTTTGTATGTATATAATAAAAATCCAATTATATTTTGCATGAGGTAAATTAACCCCTATTTTAGGGGGTTGGTTTGTTCATTTATTTAATAAAAAAAACGTATTATATTTTGCAGAAGATAAATAAACCTTAGTTTTAGGTTGTGTTCGTTTATTTAAAAAAAATTAATAGATTTTTCTTTATAATTAATTATTTATTTTAAATAAACCCTAAATATTTTTAGAATGTGGTATTTATTTATGTATGAGTGTTTTATTTATTTTTTCTTAATTTATTTTGAATATTTATTTGTTTATTAAAAGTTTCCATATTGATTTTTCAAGGTTAAGATTATTTATTGCTTTTTATTTATTTGTACTTCATTGTGATAATTTTCAATTATCTGTAGTTGATATTTGTTTGAAATATTTTCAAATTGTGCCAAATCACTTTATTCATTTACATAACTATTAATTTAAAAGTAATATTATTAGTAATAATATAGATAAAAAGTCATTACAGTAATGATAATGTGTTTAATGGTTCTTTTTTTGCAAAATAAATAATATTACCACCATATCGGTATCGGCCGATAAATGCTCATTTTTTCTGTTATCGGTATCGGCCCAATAAGAAAATTTGGCCGATATCTTAAAGCCGATAAATAATGCATTATTTCCTTCAGAGACACTTCAGATGCGCGCTGTTCGTTTGCAGCCTTTTGTGCAATTGTACATTGTAATATTGTGTTTATTTGATGTATATCTGATTTATCTCATATAGAATGCGTTTGGTTAAGTTAAAAGAGCGCTTCAGTTTACCGGTGATCATCTTTAGCTCAGCGCACGCAGCTCAAACAGCAGTGCACAACATTAATAACTATGATTGGGAATGTCGTGTATATAACATTCTAATGAGAACATTATTATAATAAAACATTGTGCATTCTTTGGGTTTAGTTGCCGTGTTTCAGCGCGTTGTTATGGGAAGAGCGCATCCACAACAGGATCACACATTCTGACTATAGCATGCAATAACTGCGTCATTTGTCATTTCATATATAAGTTGTAATATTATGTTTATGTTGTATTAATATTCATCTCAGGATGCATTTCCTTGAGTTGAATAAGCTGCCAGCAAAACGCTTCAGTTTACCGTGTTCCTTCAGCTCTTCAGCTTCAGCACGCGCAGCTCATCGGCTGCTATTTAAAACAGTGGTATTCATTTGTTACTTTTTCAAAATCATTGATATATTATTAATAACAACAACTACTTGTATTTTTCTCTTATTAGTTTCATCAGCAATATGGTTTAGTAATTAAAATAATTTAACTATTGTCTGTGCAGAGGCTATTCCGTTTTATTGATCTGTGGCGCATTAATTTTGATTCTTTACACGTGTAATGATGTCCAGTGACTTGTTTGCATTATTTATGCATTATTTTATTTATTTGTAAAACTTTGACTAAATTTGGTAATGGGAGAGTAAAATTATTTTTAAAACGTACACCGTTCAAACTAGGCTGCTTATGTTGAAGTGTTTGGGATGTGGCTTTTAATGATGAGACCTTTTTTGTAATCAGGCTCTCAAAAAGTATATAACAATTTGGATATAGATTTATCGGCCAACATATCGGTTATCGGCTTTCAAAAATAAAGAATTATCGGTTATTGGTATCGGCCAAAATTTTCATATCGGTGCATCCCTAAAATAATATCTCACATAAAGTGTTCAATAGGTTCAGTTGTTTTCTGTATAGTGCATGTTAGAGTGTAGAGTGAATTGTTGGATGTCTCTCAGGCATCATGGCCGCCGGGCACCGAGTGTGTGGCCAAGTATAACTTCCAGGGCAGCACAGAGCAGGACCTGCCCTTCTGCAAAGGAGACCTGCTGACCATCATCAGCGTAACCAAGGTAACGGCCAATCAGCAAACACCTGCTGGTGTCGTGTGCACCTTTAATGTCTGAAAGCTTCTAATGAGAGACACGTCTGGCATTTACTAAATATTGTTTATCAGAAATGTCATTGATGGTCATTTTTAAACTTCTCTGAAAATTGAAGATTTTCGCTAAAGTATTAAACTGAAAGTGCTATTTTTGTGTATATTGTAGGAAAAATGTATAAATAATTGTATATAATTTTCTATATTAATTGTATTATTAATATATATATATACACGCACACAAACACTATTAATTTATTTAATGCATATAAGCAGAAAAGGATATTTCCATAGTAAACTCACAATAAAACTATTTTTAATAATATTATAATTTTTTTATATTATTTACTTGTATAGTATTTTTCATACATGGAATGCAACTCAAAGTGCTTCACGTGCATAAAACAAATATTAAGAATACAATATCAGTATAAAATAATAAAAACTTTATGAACAAATATAGAACAATCAAAATAAAATAAAGCAACAAATAACAAGTATAAACAAATACAAACATGTATGTAAGTAACTTTAAAGAGATATGTCTTAACCCGCCTTTTAAAAATAGTGGACACTTCATTTTGTAAACAGTTCCTAATTTTTTGAGCATGTGCCAAAAGCCCAGCACTAGAGGATCATGACGTACGGTTAGGAATATATCTTCAGATGCTTAAGAAGGTGCCAAATTGTGCAATGTTTTATAAACTAATCTTAAAATCAATCCTTTGATGAACTGTTAACCAATGTAATTCCATTAAAACCGGTGTAATATGTTCTCGCTTCTTTAATTTCATTAATACTCTTCCTGCTGCATTTTGTATCAAGTGTAGCTTAACTAGAGAACCCTTAGGTAAGCCACTATATTAATTAATATTAATATGAGACTTGAAACTCAAACTTTTTTACATTGATGAAACAAAATTTAGCTTCATATCTGTTGCAGTGATTGTATTGTGCTTTTGTCGTAAATGTTGACATGTAGATATTGAATCGTCATCAAACTCCAACAAACATCTTCAGTTATAATTTCAGCTCTATCAGGCGTGTTGTCATGCTCATGTTCTCTGGTGATTGATCGATTGATTTGATTTATTGATTCAGGACCCAAACTGGTACAAAGCGAAGAACTCTGTTGGCCGAGAGGGAATGATTCCAGCAAACTACGCCCAGAAGAGAGAAGGAGTCAAATCCGGAGGAAAGCTCAGTCTGATGCCGTGAGTTCATGATCTTCATTCAGACTCGAGCCCTGCTGAATTGTGGGTAATGGTTGTCTGTGTTCTCCTTGGTTTGGCTGATGGTGGCTTTATTGTTGAAGGTTTTGAGAATGAAAGCATAGCAGAGCTTGAGTCTGTTTCTGTGCTTCTGCTGCTCACACACATAGAAAACGCACACACACACACATTCTTTTTGAATAGAAAATCTTTTTGAATGACTGAATCAATGACTCATTCATAAAGACTTCACCTGCTTCATTGCTGGATGAATCAGTGTTTTTGAAAGAATCTCTTGAAAGAGTGATTCAATGACAAATACATTTTCTATCAGTCACTTGTTGCCACCTACTGGCATTTATTTGGTAAAAGTTGCTTTACTCCATTTTACATTTACATTTAATCATTTCACAGACGCTTTTATCCAAAGCGACTTACTGTGACAAGTCCCGGTTAGTCTAACGCAGTACACATAGCAAGACACACACACACACACACACACACACACACATAGAAAACGCTTTATGCCATTATGCAAATCCACCTCAAACACACATTCTCTCTCACACACACTCGCTCACAAACACACGCATACACACATTCGTTCACAAACTCACACTTGCTCACAAACACTCACTCACACTTGCTCACAAACACACATTCGTTCACAAACACACACTTGCTCACAAACACACATTCGCTCACAAACACTCACTCACACTTACTAACAAACACACATTCGTTCACAAACGCACACTTGTTCACAAACACACACTCGCTCACAAACACTCAGTCACACTTGCTCACAAACACACATTCGTTCACAAACACACTTGCTCACAAACGCACATTCGCTCACAAACACTCACTCACACTTACTAACTCACAAACACACACTCGCTCACAAACACTCACTCACACTTGCTCACAAACACTCACTCACACTTACTAACTCACAAACACACACTCGCTCACAAACACTCACTCACACTTGCTCACAAACACTCACTCACACAAACACACACTCGCTCACAAACACTCACTCATACTTACTAGCTCACAAACACACATTCGTTCACAAACACACACTCGCTCACAAACACTCACTCACACTTGCTCACAAACACACACTTGCTCACAAACACTCACTCACACTTACTAACTCACAAACACACACTCGCTCACAAACACTCACTCTCACTTGCTCACAAACACTCACTCACACAAACACACACACTCGCTCACAAACACTCACTCATACTTACTAACTCACAAACACACATTCGTTCACAAACACACACTCGCTCACAAACACACTCGCTCACAAACACACTCGCTCACACAGTTTAAGACCGTGAAACTCTTGGTTGTGATGATCGTTACTCATCGGGTTTCTCAGTAAATGAGGGAAAAGCTGAAGTGAAATACAGTGAGCTCAGTCATCCGCTTGCATCAGAGATCAGCAGCTTCTTCAAACCAAACAGCATTCATGCATGAAGTCCAGAGTCCTACATAGAATAACTTATAGTACAGTTATGTCTAACGGTCAGTGACACGCATCAGTATACTGAAGCATTTCTACATTCGTATGGCTTCACTTCCTGTTTCGATTTTAACTGTCAACAGCACATTTATTTATTCATTGATTTTTTTTTATGCATATACAGCCCTAATATATATATATATATATAGTTTCCATAAAAGATCATGTATAATTATATGTAATTTTATCATATACAGATTTTTTTTTTAGTGTTTGTTTCTATCTAGCTTCATTTTATATTTCAGTTTTTAGTAACTTTAGTACTATAACTTAAACTTATTTAATTTTAGTTAGTTGCCAATGCAGCATTTCAAATTTTTTTAGTTCTTTTTTTTCTAATTTTATTTTAAATTTTTTAAAAAGATTTGTGTAATTTTTTTTTTGTTCAGCTTAAATTCAGTAAAAGACTATTTTTAATAGTTTTAGTTAACAATAACAACACTGATCATATATTGTTGAAATAAATCACACGAGAGCCGAAGAGAATGTCTGCAGAACGATGATGTCAGATTCATCAGGAAGTTACTGAAATCAAAAGAACAGCAAATAATGCAAACTGAATGTCTAGACTAAGTCTCTCTATACTGTACATACTGTATGATCTCATAAAGGCTTAAAAAATAAATGAGTTTGACTGATTGCTCTGCTTGTCAGATGGTTTCACGGTAAGATCACGCGTGAGCAGGCGGAGCGGCTGCTGTATCCGCCGGAGACGGGGCTGTTCCTGGCGCGAGAGAGCACCAATTACCCCGGAGACTACACGCTGTGTGTGAGCTGCGACGGCAAGGTGGAGCACTACCGCATCATCTATCACAGCGGGAAACTGTCCATCGATGAGGAGGAGTACTTCGACAACCTCATTGAGTTGGTGCGAGTGTTTGGAGTGAGTGTGTGTGTGTGAGTGTGTGAGGGTCAGTGTGTGTGTGTGAGTGTGAGTGTGTAAGAATGTGTGTGAGTGCGAGTGAGAGTGTGTGTGTGTGTGATTTTTTTTGTGAGTGTGTGTGTGTGTGTGAGTGTGTCTTGAGGCATTCCTCACATTCTCGTCCCGTTTCTCTCGATGGCGTGTCATAACAAGCTGCTCATGAATCAACGTCTCGCACACATCTTGTGGAATGACTGTAAACAAGAACAGACCTGTGTGTGTGTGTGTTTTGTCTGTGTGTGTGTGTGAGTGTGAGTGTGTGTGTGTGTGTGTGTGTGTGTGTGTGTGTGTGTGTTTGCTCTTGAATGTGATTTAAGAGTTTTTTCTGCCCTCTAGTGGCTCCTGTGTTTCTGTGAAACAAACGATCATCTAAACAAGAGTTTATGATGAAGAGAATTATTCTGTCCTGCAGGATATTAAAGCAGATTAGTGATCATGATCTAGACATGTGCAGTTAGAAACCGTTTTCATTTTGCATTTCAATGAATAACAAAAGAGCAAAATGAAAAAAAATCATTTGGAAAATCGTAAAGGAGACAAATGTTTAAAAATATATAAAAAATGTTTTTTTACAATTTTTTAACTTTTTAAGAAAAAATAAAATAAATATATTTTACAAAATCATAAAAAAAGAGAAAATATTTGTAACCTTTTTTGCCTTTCATTGAATTAGCAAACACAAATATGAAGTCAAAAAATATTTAATAAATATCTTTAAATTATTGATTGAGCTGTAGTGATTTGAATGAGTTTGATTCATTGATCTTGTTTGATGCGTTTATGAAATTCTTTTTCCTCCTGGATGTTTGTTGTTAGTGGCATGAAAACGAATTCTTCATCAGCTTAGAAAGACATGTTTTGTTTTCACCGGAAACATCCAGCAGAGCGCCGTGAGATGAGTGTGACCTCTATCCCAGCATGCTCTGCTCCCTCAGGCTGCTGTCCTTCACTCTTCCCCTCCACAGCCTCTGTGCCTTTCCTCTTTCACATGTTCACAGGAAGAGCTCCGACCCCTGAGCGCAGTTCATAACCGTTTCTGTGTGTGTGTGTGTGTGTGTGTGTGTGTGTGTGTGTGTGTGTGTGTGTGTGTGTGTGTGTGTGTGTGTGTGTGTGTGTGTGTGTGTGTGTGTGTGTGTGTGTGTGTGTTTGTGTTTGTGTTTGTGTTTGTGTTT